GACTTTCTTCCACTAAACTTTTTGTCATTCCGTCACGGTCATTCCGTCACAGCAAATAGATGTTAATAACTGCTAACCAACCTGAGGTTAATTTTCCAAATTCACAATTTACATTGCTTACACATTATACTAAAAGTAAAAAATAGTTCAGGAAAATAATAGTTGCAAAATTCACAGAAACTACCAGTTCTAAGCGGCATGCCGAAAGCTTGGTTGCCAAAATGTCATTCCGTCACACAAGTAAAAAGTTCATAAAATTAAAAATAAAAAAAATACAAAATTCTTTTTTTTTAGTTTATGAATCACATTATACCAATAATAATGATATGCATGAGAAAAAATCATGTTTATTTGAAATTAGATGCATAGAAACTTCAATTAATTGTCATCATGCAAGTCAAAATGTCATTCCGTCACATATGGAATTGCCCTGTAGTTAAATTGCTAAATAACTGGTGTCACTAACAAGCATTCGAAATAAACCTCCCTATACCTTTGCAACTTTTTGCTGATTCAGAATTACGTTCCGTCTGTTGAAATTGAAAGTGAACATCAACACAAGATAAAATATTCCACTGAAAGATAGTTTTATAAGTCAATAAACGTTACTATTCTAACCTTTTTTTTCTTTTTATGCCTTTAAATTTCCTACCAAATTCGTATTTGTTAACAACGTAATATTCTTTCTATGATGACAAAAGTTTGAAATGAAATGACATGTAAATGACAGTTGATGATAAAAACAGGATCATAAAAAAACTTTTATTGTAGTTGTATTTCTTAAAGCTCTTGATACAGAATTAAAAGTATATTTTCCTCCAATTTAAGCGAAATAATAAATTTTGCATAATAATATCAATAAGGACAGGCCCCTATGGACATGGAGATATATTCCCCATGACCAGCCAAATCAAAAGCTAAATTAAAAAGTTATTGAATTGTTCCCAACAGACTCTTAGGAGCATGGGAAGAGATCCATAATTGGTGATTAATCGAGAAATAAAGTAGCAAAAAACAAAGTCAACTCAGCGTAATTAATAATTAATATTAAATTTTAAAATGATTTGGCTATAGCTGAATCGCCTAAAAAAGACAGTGAGAATTAATAAAACCCTGTAACTGAAACATTTTTGCGGTAAGAGAAGTAAAGAATAAAGAGTTATAAATAGATTTTTATGTTCGATTTAGTCGTGACAGTGAATTAATGAATTTTACATTTGTATTGAATTAAAAAGTTAGCCGTTTAATTGATTGTAAAGAGAATAAAATGTTTACATTTGCTTCTTATATAAATTAAATAATTGGTTGAATTTAACTGAAATTAGATTAGGATTGATTAAAAAAATTTATAAAAGAAACTTTAAAAACTACGAAGTAAATGATGCATATTATGACATCATACGTTCTTGTCCAAAATTATTCATTATACTAATTGTTTCCATTTATTAAATCACAAAACGAAGTTGAAACAAATACGGAAATCTTATTTCGCCCTCAAATAATACATATTAGTTTCTTTCAGAGTAACTAGATTGGACAAAAATGGAATTTGTTCTTTCAATTAAAGGTGGCGTCTGATCTGATCTCTGCTCTCAAAATAGATCCACTAAGCTTTTCTTTTTCAAAAGATGTGTAAACATTTACCTTCTTAACTAATCTACTAACAGAGTTGGTGGACCAATGGTGATGAAAGCCTCAAATAGACGTGACTCGACCAACAAATGACTAAAAGATTAGTTTATTAATAGTACCATAGATATTTTTCGATAATTTTTATTAGACTTGCATAGTAAGGTAATATTTCTGTATGTTTATTTACTTTTTAAGATGTTTCTAATTGCGAGAAATAGACAAAAAGGAAATTCATTTGAATAATTTGACTGTTGTGATTGAAAAATACGAGTGAGGAGAAATACCAATTATAATTACAAATACATAAATACAAACACAAGATATATACAAATACAAATACAAGAAAATATACAAATATTTTCTATAATGCAAGATATTGCATTTTCTTTTGCATAATTTAAAAATATGCTTATTCAGTATTCATAGAATGAAGGAAAAATGGTATGAATGGCTGAAAAAATATTTATTAAAAATAATTAAATATATGAAATTTTTTTAATAAATATTGAAGTATATGTGTTTAATTATTTTTAAAAATGTTTATTAATTTTTTTTTTTTTTAAACTTTCAAATGACATCGAAGTTTGAAAATGATCAAATAATAAGTCTTTAGCGTACTTTATTGTTAACAAGTTTTTGTACCTAAAGAAATTAAAATTTTAATATAAGATTTTTTATATAGAAACACTAATCATTAAAAATCAATAAGTAACTCTGAAGAAATTTGAGAAAGGAATAAAGAAAGAAAGGTTCTTAAAGCTTATGCTTGAAGATTGCTGTGACAATTGCAAAATTGGTGGTTACAGTTATAATTTTAAACTGCTGTTGTGTGGTTGCTTAGACTCTGCCATTTTTATACGAAGACTTTGTTATGCTTTTAAGATATTAATGAATCTTGATTTCTCTGAAATTAGGAGGAGAGCATACATTGTTAGAAATTTCTTGTTAAAAATGATTAGATTCAAACAAAACACTTAAATAATCACACAAAATGGACGAGGAAATCCTTCTAAGGAAATCACAAAACCCTAAACGCAATTTACTCGAAACTATGTTTATTTTATTTATTATATCTCTAGTTAGCACAATTTTCAACTGATTTACTTCAAATTTTGACACAATGTTCACAATAAATATAGGTTCTGTTACTTGTAAGTTTTTTAATTAATTGGTTTTGAGTAATCCACGAAAATCTAACTTATTTTAAGTCGTTTTTTTAAACTTTTTTTTAATCCCTCCATTTCGAGAAAAAAATTATTTTTTAAGAAGTAATGCGTACCACAAAAGCTACATTTGTGTAGTTAAAAAAAAATCAAAACGAAATCAGATTTGGAGGTTTTTCTTCAAACGTACGAGTACAGCAAGTAATAGATAATTTAAAAAATAAGTTTTAAACATTGTGTAATATAAGCACTAATTTTCAAAATTTTTGTATTTGTGACATGATAAAATGGAGAGTAAACTAAGTATGATAAGGTAAAAGAAATGAGTTAAGTCAAGTTTATCACAATTATTGCAAAAGTCTTTAAAAATTCCTTATTTTTTACAAGCTTCCATTTTATTGTTTCTCTTTAAATGATAATAGAAAATAAAACTTAACTGTTAATACGAAAGAGCTGCTAAAGAGACAATTGAAATCAAGAATTAATAATTTTGTAATCAATGGAAAGAAAAAAAAAATTCCCATTTAGATCAATTATAATAATAAAAGTTTACTTTTTTATCATCATTAATGATCTATATAGACTCAATAAAAAATTAATTATGAACACAGCACGAATATTTTGTGAGCCGAATAACTCAGTTGATTCATCAAAATTTATGTTCGAACTCATGAACTATAAAATAGAATTAGATTTACAATGACGCCTCTGTAATATCCATTAATTACGTACTATGTAAGTTCACTAATACATTCGGAAGAACTCGAATAAGGATACCAGAGGAAAAAAAAACAGTAATTAAGTACTATGCAAGTTCACAAATGCATCAGGAAGAACTCGAATAAGGATACCAGAGGAAAAAAAACATTACTTAAGTACTATGCAAGTTCACAATTGCATCAGGAAGAACTCGAATAAGGATACCAGAGGGGAAAAAAACATTAATTAAGTACTATGCAAGTTCACAAATGCATCAGGAAGAACTCGAATAAGGATACCAGAGGGAAAAAAACATTAATTAAGTACTATGCAAGTTCACAAATGCATCAGGAAGAACTCGAATAAGGATACCAGAGGAAAAAAAACATTAATTAAGTACTATGCAAGTTCACAAATGTATCAGGAAAAACTCGAATAAGGATACCAGAGGAAAAAAAACATTAATTAAGTACTATGCAAGTTCACAAATGCATCAGGAAGAACTCGAATAAGGATACCAGAGGAAAAAAAAACATTAATTAAGTACTATGCAAGTTCAAGCTCTTGATACAGAATNAATAAGGATACCAGAGGA